AAAAATGTGTTTTAAATTAATATTTTTTAAATTATTTAGTTGAATTAATTTAGCTTTTACATAAAGTTTAATTTGATACTTTTATATAATAAATAAATAACCATTAAAGAAGTTTTTTTTCCTAAATATAGTATTTATTGAATATTTTTACTTAAATTGAAAAAATTTTTAATTGTTATTTATTTATTATATAAAATTATGAAATTAATTAACACAAAGTTGATAAAGTAGGATAACTAAATAGGACCAGAGCAACTAACATGTAGTCGTAAAGTTGTAAACTTATGTCTTAAAACAATTAATTTTGCTAGTTGAATGTAAACTATATTGTACTTTAAAATTTTTTGTGATTAATTAGTGAATAATTATCTAGTTGTATTTATGGAGAAAAAAAAAAGCATGAAATAAAACACATCTAAAAATATATGTAAAAAAATTTTAAAAACATATAAAAAAATTGGTATAACAAATGACAAAATAAAATAAATAGATTTAACTTAAGAAAAAATTATGAGTTAAAAATGAAGTTTTAATATTTAACCTAAAAAAAATGTTAGTGACTAAAATAAATATTTTAGATTAATTTTAGCCATTGCAAAGATGATAATCTAACGATTTTTTAGAAATAGAGTAGGAAGGAGGATAAGGCGGAGAAATGTTAAAAGTTAAGAGATTTTCTCACCTTTTTTTTTTTTTTTTTGACTAAAAATATTAGAAATTAAAAGGCAATTTTTATATTTAAGAGATTTGCCTTAAAGACTCCTTAACTGTTATGTGAAGATTTTGTTTTGAATTAACCTAATACGAGATTTACAATAAGATTAATGATAGTTTTTTTTCATAAATATTAAAAATAATTAGATTAATAAAGTAAAATTTAAGAAAGAAATTGGTAAAATATAAAATTTGAGAACTAATTTAAAAACTTTTCAAAAGACTAGGGGGGCCAAAGCCCTCCCTGGTCTCTTCAGGGCTCTGCCCATGGTCATTATACAGGTTTGGTCCTACTAGCAAAACTGGGGGATGGCAACTTAGTTTGTGCGTCGCGGTGGGGATTTTCAAGTGGCAAGACCTTACGTAAGCTCTCAAATTTATTTCAAATTTTTGAACAAATTTTAAATTTTCATTAAAACAAATAAGTTATTGAACTTAATAATATCGGTAATTTAACTCCTTTTTTTATGATAAACTTAATATTTAATAGTGTTTCATTTGTATAAATAATGTATTGATAGATTATTATCTATATGGTGAGTATTGACTTTATTTATGTAAATAAAACACAAATAAACTTTTACTCCATCATAAAAAAAGAGTTAAATTGTCCAAATCACTAAGTTAAAAAGTTCACTTGTTTCAATAAAAATTTAAAAATTTAATCAACAATTTAAAATAAATTTAGGGGTTCACTGAATTCAAGTGTTGCGAGTGTACCAAGGGGGTTTCATTTTCTTTTGGATGCAACGATTTTACAAGCTGCAGTGCTAGTGACTCAAGAATACTGCAGATGATCGCATGGCAAACTCCATTAATTGCCTACTTAAGGTTGTAATGAGGATTTATATGAAAATAACAATAATAATAATAATAATAATAATCTACTACAAAATATTTTTTTTGTAAAATATTTTTCAAACTCAATGATGACGCACAATTAGGATACAAATCTCTAGAGCTCTCTAAAGCTCTTAAGGCGTGGTGTTCTCTAATTTTTTATTCTTTTCCCATTAGGGTCCATTTAGTTCAAGGAAAACTACTTCTAGAAGATAATTTATGTACTTTTCAGTGTTTAATAACTCTTTGAAAAGTAAGTCAATGGAAATTAAATCATCGAAAAATACAATAAACAATTTCCAGAAAATGACTTCCTAATTAATTGCATTTAGGGAGACGTTTTCTAACTTGCAAAACACGCTGATACTATGATAACCACTGGCAAAACACACATATTTATAACTTTCAAACACTATTCCGAACAGCGAAAGATAAAAGCTTTAGTATCTTGCCTTGATCCTGCTGCTCTGTTTCTAGCATCAACAGAAAATTGGGTGAAGCTTTTATTGGAAAACATATGATTATCAACTTCATTTTGCTTTGGCCATTATTAAATACAAATTTTCTGAAAACAATGAATACTAGTTAATGACTTGAAAAAAAGAAGAAGTGTGGTTTTTCTCTTTTCATGGATTAACATATTTCATGCTTTTAATAGTTTTCTAGTTTCGTTCTTTCTTTTTTCATTTTCAAGTGGAACATATGAATAGATTGTTAATACTTTTTGGTACAAATATATCAAGATTTTTATCTTGTTAATACTTTTTGGTTTTTGGGTAAACTTGTTAGTATTATGGAAAGCAGGTTCCTTTTAGTATTGTTTTTAAGGATAACTTTTTTAACATATAATATTTTTTTGTTTTAATAGTATGATAAAAATTTTGAAATTGATAAATGTGTTTTTTATTATTTTTTATGGTAGTATTATAATTATAAT